ATAGATATTTAATTATGACCTTGACCTATATTTATGCAGATTGTTACACAAACGTCACATTTATTGGACACTAGCGAGAAACACAGATGCAAATATTTATGTTAAATGGTTATTTATGGTAAAACAATTGTTGACTTTGTTAACTGTTGACTTTGGGGTGTTAAGTAGTATTTATAGATATTTAATTATGACCTTGAGCTATATTTTCTTATATATTATTGTATTAAAAAATTGCAAAACTTACATTTTATTTTTAAGTTTTCAGAATTACACTTACTGAAGTATTTAATACCATTGAATACAAACTAATTTAGTATTGCTGTAAATTTACTAGCGCGTGATATTAAAATTATAACAAACCAGAATAATAACAATGGCCACGATTTAGGTGAAATGATTCAGTCATGGGGGTTGGTTAACTCTCTTCATATCAGAGAGCTTAAGCTACATATAGCAGAAATGTGAATTAGCTGTGTACAGTTGTCATGCCCCAATAATATTCTCCTCCAAAGGTTCCCGATACCAGTTTTACTTTGTTAACTTTTTAAGGAGATCCCTGGTGTTAGATTGGGAGCCGTTCGCATAGTGAGGTGCATACATGGATGAGAGCCATGAACACTCAATACAAGCCCCCAGAGACGGATCCGTGCCCTAGAAATAAGATGTCTTATGTCCTAATGTACGCCTGTGAGGGGTGGGGGGGGGAATAGCGAGGGTAACAAAAGAGAAGATTGTCTGGATGACATCTGGGACTGGACCGGATCATCTTTTGCAAATTCACTGAGGGCAGAGTTTCTTTCAGGCATCATATCGGAGGGGGGGAGGGGGGCTCTGCCCCCCAGAACAAAATGGAATTTATATACAAAACATACTTTTACCAATGTCCACCCTTCCCCTGAAATTTAAGTCCCCACCCCTGAAAATTTCAAGTACGCCCACCAAAAAATCAATTATTTATATTTAATTATATTACAGTTTTGATGAATAATAACAATATTTGTGATCATGTATGTCTAATTAGATGTACTAGTCACAGCTTTACTTATTTCCAAGTGTTGTTCACTTTGATGGATGCTAGATTGAAAGAAAACTAGACTTTTGAACATAATTTCTGCATTTTTGACCATGGTATGGCTAACCCAATTGATCATTATCAGTATTTTTAGCTGTCCTAAACAATGTAATCATTGGTCTAACAATACAAAATCAGTATACAGTTTAATTTTCGCGTAAATAGCCATATTTCGTGATAAATGATTTTATTTTTCAATAAATGTACATGGGGCCGTTCGTTGCTAGCGTCCCATTTATGGGACGTTTTTTAAAAAATCGATATTTAAAAAAGTATTGATTTTAAAAAAAAATCCATAGTCATTCCTTCATTCAGTGCCCAAAAGCTAAACCATATCAAAAAATTATAAAAATTTGAGACCTTGGGATAATATGGGTTAAAAATAAATTTAAAAATTTCCTAGCTATACGTCGACTTTAAGTCTTCTAAATTTACACTTGGTGACTGAGATAAGTTTCCCTGGGCACGACGCATGACTTAACACCCCCAGTCATTCAAATGTGGGGCTGCGGGTTGAACATAAAATATCATAAGGAAAAGTGTGGGAAAGACGGACGTGGAATATTACAGGGTTGTGCCCTCGTCAATTCACTTCCTGCAGCTTGGCTGTAATTACACTTATGTCGGTACAATGAGATTTTATTTTAGTTTACAGAAAACACGATAAATTTAGCTAAGTCATTGAAATAATATAAAATAATATAAAAATTAAAATGAAAAGTTATAGGAATACAGTACTTATTTTTTGACTCAAACAAGGGCTTCAACGATACACAAAAGGGAGGGTACCTGTCGTTCCAGCACACACAACACACACACACACACAAGCCGGGGACATGTAAGGGACGTAACAATTAGATGTTTTTGTTAATGTTCTGATTTAAACAGGTTTTTACACAGTACATAGCTACAACAAAATAAATTAAAATAAACGACATGCTTATTTCTGGTATTTTCTAATATTCAATTAGGCATGTTAGGTTGTCGTCGTTTTAATCGTGTAAATTAAACGGGTATGTAAGGGGTCGGCGTGGTCGAGTCGGTAAAGCTCATGGTTGCTAAACTGAAAAATCTCGTGTACGAACCCTCGAGCAGATGAGGCTCTAAAATTAAACAACTGCTGCATTGTAGTATGTTCTTGGTTGGACATAGACTATGGAAGCAAATCCAAAAAGAAAAGCTGGCTGAAAATCAAAGTCATTGTAACAATGGGGATCCCTTCCAATACCAAAACCGCTAATCAGATTAAACGGGAAAATACCAGCTCGTAATATGCTTTAAAGGCGGTTGGTCATAGTGCAGACCACACTATCCCTCGATATGCCGAAATCATTTTAACAGGTTAACTCTACTTCACCTGCCCGATTGACAGCAAGGTACGAAATATAACTTTTACTTACTATTATTTGTATTGATTATTAATATTTATTAACATTAATCTGGTAAACCAATGCTAAATTAAAAAAAAAACTAGCTTATTTGCATATAAACGTTTTTGTGTTATACACAGAGTTTCTTCCAGGCACCTCTTCGGGGGGGGGGGGCTTTGCACCCCCCCCCCTCGAAAAAATTCTACCGCCCCCCCCCCCCCGAACGAAACGAAATGTATATAATTTATATAGAAAATATATACTTTTAATAGTGTCCGCCCCCCCCCTCCAAAGAAAGTCAACCCCCCCCCCCAGAAAATTTCTAGTGCCCCCCCCCCCGGAGAAAAAAGTCTGGAAGAAACACTGGTTATACCCAACGAATGAATGTCATGTCTGGAATCGAAAACTTCCTGGTGTCTGGCACATGATCAAGTCACAAGGGGGCACGCTTGGTTAACTATCCGTATCGAATGTATTTTAATGCTCTAGGTGTGTCAGCTCAATAGTTATGTTTCTATAATTAGGATAATCATCAAGCTTAACGTACGTATTTGTTATTTAGCCGATCCTTATATAACTGTTTTAATGATTTTACGATTAGGCTATTTTTCTTGACACAAAAAGATCAGTTTCATATACGTTTTAATCTTGCTGGTATGATAAAAGGAAGCAACTGTAATATCTTTACCTTAATCTACATAAAATGATTTTAAAAGAAGCGATGCATTTCACAGTAAGTATGTTGTTAGATTGTATATGTGTGGACGTCAAAGCTAGAACTAAAGAAGCCCAAATTTATTTTTGTGAACAATATTACAGTCATTTTTTTCACTTTTTCTCATATCCTTAGCTTCGGGTATAACGGCTTTCCATTACGTCTTGCATATAATCATTCGTACGTCATGTTTGAAATATGTATTATTGCATTTGATTATTTCTCATTCTCGTGCCTTATATTTCTAATTGTATATGATTTTTTCTAATCAGAGGTGTAGCGACCCATTTTGGCGCCCGGGGCGGGGGGGGGGCGAACTATCGATTTTGCGCCCCCACCCATTTATATATAGATATTGACGTTAGCGAAAAAGCCGTCCCCCACCCCCAACCCTCCATTAATTTGAAGAGGTGTGAGCTTTTTACCAATCACATTTAATTAGGTGTCACACAAATTGCTGTAGACAACATTGAAATCAATCAGCAAAGTCACGTGGTAGTCCATTGTTTCAACTTAGACCAGTATTTTGGTGTTACCGAACCCCACGAGATTTATATGCATATTCGCCGAACCCTTCGTAATACTTTTATCATCCGCACTGACAGAATCCAATCATAAATCATGTGTGTCGGGTGTGGGTTTTGACTTCCGCCGAACCGATGGGGTTCGATTGATATAGATCCCATGTAACAAACCATTGACTTATACCAGAGGTCGGCAACCTGCAGCCCGCGAGCCGCATGCGGCTCTTTTTTGTGTAAATATGCAGCTCTCCAGTTCCATAATAATTATATTATCTTTTTCAATACACAATAAGTTTTATACTGTAAAAACAAAGATAACTTTTAACAAAATGAAAAACAAAGAAAATAGGTGGAGTAAAACGTATATGGTCAGCTGACAGTCGCTGGGCATTAGCACTTTTCGTTTCTTTGAGACTTTTATTTCCAGGGGGGTTGTACTAAAATTTCCAGGAAGGGGGATGGGGCGGCCATCGTTAAAGGCATATATTTTCAATATGAATTCTATTTCGATCGGGGGGAGGGAGACCCCTTTCACCCCGCCCCTCATAACATGCATGGAAGAGGCTCTGGGTAGTGGGCCCAGCCCCACTACTGTGCTGTGGCCAACGCCGTGGCAATGGCTCCATGCTTGAAGTGCATAAAAATGATAGTGGCTCTTTAAAAATTTGGAAATGTTGTACATTTTTTTTTTGCTCTTCCGTCTCAATACTGTGTAAAATTACGTTATGCATCTCAGAATGAGCTTTTTTTAACCGACTTTCTCGCCCTACACAACACAAGCTACGCCTCTACTTCTTATGTCACGTGGTTCATATCACTTATGATATTTAAATGCTATTACAAGTAAAAACATCACAGCAATGACATAAGATTCCTTTATGTCAAAACTTGTTCTACTTCCCTGTTGCTTCCCCTTACAAACTGGTAAATACGCTGGTTTCAACTGGCTAGGCTTCAGTTATCCCGTGGGCAACCCAATGTTTTTAAATAGTGTGTTTGTTATATGATTACCGTTGACGCTTGAACAAGATTTGTGCACGGCTCGTGGGAAATATTATTCTGTTTTGTGTTTGTGGCAGAAGTTTAGAAAAGTCTCTCATTAAAATAAATTACAGTGTATTCATTTTGATTGATTTACAGGTAAATTAAAAGCATTAAATTAATTATAGACAATACGTATTTTGGCTATTGTATGTTATATTAAATTATCGCCGAGGAGTTTATATTTAAATATGTCTTTCTGAGATACTGTTTACAAAACTTAATTTTCTTCGACATTAGATGCTGGTGACATAGATAGTTCTCCTGGATGTAAAAAAATGAAGTTTACAGCCATTCTGTGTGTTACTATATGTATATTTGGAGTGATATGTGCTTTGGAAAGAAACAAAACAAATAGTGGTAAGGATTGTATACGTGTACGTTTGTTTTTGTGCGTATTTATGTTAGAGATAGTGTGTATATATATGTGTTGTATAGCCTACTCATCTTACTTTTCAAATAACTTTTGTATATAAAAAACGTGCTGTTAATATATAGATTATACAACACTGTCCTAAACAACAATGATGATCATTATTTGCCTTTTTTTTTTCTAGAATATAATAATGATTTCGACGAAAGGAACATTTCAGCAAGTAATATTGAGGCGCTAAAGGATCTTCTAATGAGAGATATAGAAGAAGAATTCAAAAACGATTTCTTGATTCAAACAAATACAAACATCAGTGACATGATTGACGAAGATGACTGGGATATGGAAACAGGGGAAACAACTGTAAACGCTACAGGTGATTTTCAAAAGCTGCTTTAGCTTTATAATTTATTTTTTTTTTTGGTGCCGGATAGAATCTGGTAACCTGCGAACACACACACTCACACACTCACACATAAACAGACAGACAAACAGACACAGACAGACAGACAGGCGGACGGATGGACGGACGGACGGACACACACACACACACAAACACAGATACACACACAGACACACAGACAAACAGGCACACCGACACACACACCGACACACAGACACACACACACACACTAAACCCCAGTGCACAATTTCTCACGCAAGCGTACATGCACTTCTAAGTAGACTTAATATTCGTTGTTTTCAGTTTTAATGCAGAATGAAAGTATTAGCAATTCAAGCATAGAACTGGGAAACCAACACCTACTCTATGGGAACCTGTCCGTACTTTTAGAAGAGGCAGCGAGCACCATAGAAGAGAAATCAGGTTCAGATAAAAGTTGTTCTTTTTTATTTGAATTAAAATGAAACTCCGCCAGTATCCTTTCAAAAGGTGTTTTTTTTTTCTCAAGAATTCAAATAAACGGTGTGCTTATAGCACAATATCAAGTGTCTCAATTTGTCTGCCTCTGGGTAACAATGTAGGAACCTCTATATGTATATTTTAACGATTGTATTTATTAAGTTTTTTATTCATTCAAAATTAATTATGTTATAACTGTTTCTTATGTAGTTATAAACGCGAATGAAAGTAAGAGCAAAGAAATTACAGGTATTGGAAACCAGCAACTGCATGAGGATTTTACAGAAACGATGAACACCACTTTAAACAATACAGGTAAGATCAGATGGAATGTTCTTTCTATGGGGTATACTGTAGCTTTGGTATCTAATTTATGTTCAGTTAGACCAGGGGTCTCCAAACTACGGCCCGCGGGCCGGATGTGGCCCGCGAAGTCCTATCATCCGGCCTGCGGAGATCTTTTTGTCCAAGGAAAAATCGTTTGTTGGTTATGGCTGAGGAGCTTTGCTTAGAAAAATCAAAGACATACCTGGAAGAAACTGGCCCCCGAACTGAAATTTGATAGTTAAAGCGGCCCTCGGACCGAAAAGTTTGGAGACCCATGAGTTAGACTGATATATTGTCTTGAAAATAAACAAGTGCACCAATTAAAATTTGAACATTTTTAAAAGTGTGATTCTTATATTCACACTTTTTATTATCACACTATTAATCACACGCTATTTCTATTACTGACATTTAAAACGAAACATATTAAAAACTGAGATGTTTCATTTTAAAATTTAAAAACAACTTGAGTCTTTATTTTTATAAAACCTGCCAAGCAAAAAAAATGACCTACGGTTTTGGGAATGATTCCGTGACCTAGAGAAAAAAAACCCATGTGCTGGAACCGTGTTCTTATCGTCATGCACCAGATACAGTAAGTCTAGTATATTATATGTCGTGACGTGATCAAATTTCACCTTTAAGTTCTGAATAACATTACCAATGTCAAGTTCTGCCAGGGTGCGATAAAAGAAAAAAATACACACAGCGTTAGATTAAAATATCAAAACGTTTGTGCTTTCTTGAATTAACCTAATAAAGAATGCAGTATTTTCTGACGGTCAATTAGGCAGGTGAATTAGAGCTAACCTGTCTTTTTTATCTCGACATACAAAATCAATAGCGTGTGATCTAAATTTTTATCAATTTCCATTGCCTTTAAAAACTTCAGTAACGCATCCATTCGAGTTAAGCGGACTATCGGGCAAACCTACATACTAGAGTTAGGTAAATCGAGTCGAGTAGTTTAGGTAAGCCTTCGTAACGCTGTAATGTTTTCCATTTAATATTGTGTGTATTTATAGTTGATTTAACCCATATTATCCCAAGGTCTCAAATTTTTATAATTTTTTGATATGGTTTAGCTTTTGGGCACTGAATGAAAGAATGACTATAGATTTTTTTTTAAATCGATACTTTTTTAAATATCGAATTTTTTTAAAAACGTCCCATAAATGGGACGCTAGTAACGAACGGCCCCATGTACATTTATTGAAAAATAAAATCATTTATCACGAAATATGGCTAATCACGCGAAAATTAAGCTGTATACTGATTTTGTATTGTTAGACCAATGATTACATTGTTTAGGACAGCTAAAAATACTGATAATGATCAATTGGATTAGCCATACCATGGTCTAAAATGCAGAAATTATGTTCAAAAGTCTAGTTTTCTTTCAATCTAGCATCCATCAAAGTGAATAACACTTGGAAATAAGTAAAGCTGTGACTAGTACATCTAATTATACACACATGATCACAAATATTGTTATTATTCATCGAAACTGTAATATAATTAAATATAAATAATTGATTTTTTGGGGAGCGTACTTGAAATTTTCAGGGATGGGGACTTAAATTTCAGGGGAAGGGTGGACATTTGTAAAAGTATGTATTGTATATAAATTCCATTTCGTTCTGGGCGCAGAGCCACTCCCCCCCCCCTCCTCCGAAATGATGCCTGAAAGAAACTCTGACCTCAGTAAATTTGCAAAAGACGATCCGGTCTAGTCCCAGATGTCATCCAGCCATCTTCTCTTTTGTTACCCTCGCTATTCCCCCCCCCCCTCACAGGTGTACATTAGGACATCAGACATCTTATTTCTACGGCACGGATCCGTCTCTGGGGGCTTGTATTGAGTGTTCATGGCTCTCATCCATGTATGCACCTCATTATTCGAACAGCTCCCAATATAACACCAGAAATCTCCTTAAAAAGTTAACAAAGTAAAACTGGTATCGGGAACCTTTGGAGGGGAATATTATTGGGGCATGACAACAGTACACAGCTAATTCACATTTCTGCTATATGTAGCTTAAGCTCTCTTATATGAAGAGTCTTTCCATCTGTTATTAACCAACCCCCATGACTGAATCATTTCACCTAAATCGTGGCCATTGTTATTATTCTGGTTTTTTATAATTTTAATATCACGCGCTAGTAAATTTAAGCAATACTAAATTAGTTTATATTCAATGGTATTAAATACTTAGGTAAGTGTAATTCTGAAAATTTAAAAATAAAATGTAAGTTTTCAATATTTGCAATTTTTTAATACAATAATATATAAGAAAATATAGCTCAATGCCATAATTAAATATCTATAAATACCACTTAACACCCCAAAGTCAACAGTTAACATAGTCAACAATTGTTTCACCATAAATAATCATGTAACATAAACATTTGCATCTGTGTTTCTCGCTAGTGTCCAATAAATGTGACGTTTGTGTAACAAACTACATGGGGCCATTCGTTGCTAGCGTCATACTTAGGAGACGCTTGTTGTACACTTGATATAACGAAGTAGTAAAAAAAAATTGTTACTCTTAAATTTTTATCAGATAGAAATATGGTACTGCTACAAGTTTCAAATGTATTTTGCACTTAAAATGTTAATATTTTAGAAGATATGCATTTTCCTGTGCGCATGTTTTCTTTTTTCCGCCATTTTGACAAGTCCTGCGAATCCGGCACTTTAAAATTTTTCTAAATTTTTTCACAAAACACACACAAATTCAATAGTCTAGCCATTTTCAAATACAATGAAACATAATTTGTGTTTTAACTAGTTTTTAATAAATTTTAGCAATTTTTTTTACAAGCGTCCCATAAGTGGGACGCTAGCAGAATATGGATTAATTAAGTACGTAAAGCTGTGAGCGAGCACATGTAGACAAATCCTAAAACAGCATGCCCCTACCAAGTTTAAATTACAGCTGTTCATTCATGTATCTATAAAAGCGTTGTATTACCCTATTTGTAAATCTTATTAAAACAGAAACATATCGGCCACTTTGCTGCATAAGAGTTATTTGACATACACACACATACATCAATAAATATATAGGGACATAAAAAATAACGCTAACATTTCTATATAAACGAACGAATGCATTTATAATGTGTGTAAAGTTTTTTTTTCGATTACACAGAGACGTAGCGAGGGGGCGGAGGGGGGTACATATGTCCCCGGGCGCCAAAATGCGTCGAATAAACAAATTAAAATGTCATTTTAGCTGCATTGTTGTATTATAAATAGCTTGAGCGGGGTAGGGGTGTAAATCGAAAGTTTGAGGGAGGGGGTGCAAATCCCGAGGGGGGGGGGGGGCACCAAATTGAAAGTTTGTCCCCGGGCGCCGGGAAGGGTCGCTATGCCTCTGCGATTACAAGCCACCTAGCATAAATATATATAAACAACAGTAAAGGCTATTGTAACACATAAAAGGTGTAACCATCTAAGGGTCATAATCTAACTGGACTGCGGGCCTTGTTAGTCAGCTAGTTCACATGTGTGTTGTTTGCTCTCGCAAGCGAATTGAACCGGTATTCTGTCGAGTCATGTGTCCTCCTGGTTATCGGGGTGGAGTGAATGAGTCTTTGAGCTGTCGTGTCCTGATGTTCTGCTACAAGTAGCTTGAATGGAAGTATATAGAACAAATAGGTCGTCAAGCTAGTCATCATATATTTTCACGTCAATCATTATATCTTTTAGTTTGTCATCATTGCCTCCATAACTAACTATAAGTCAAATATGGCAGATTAGCCATATTACACCTCGTTTACCCGGTAGTGGTTTGTGTGACGAGTGGCTACGCTTAGCTGTACAATAAAACGTGTCTCACTAGCTTCACTCAAAAAAGCGTGTTTTTTGTTTTCTCTGAGGGTCAGCAATTAACTCCAGTGGTTGACCACCACCAATATCACAACTGAAGCTCTGTTACATGGTAATATGTAGATTAATATAAAATGATTGTTTGATTAATACAATTTAATCACTGAAGCAGGAGTCAGACGGAATAATTCCAACACACCAAGTGAGGAGAAACTAGATGTAACAACTAGGAAGCCATTATGGTCAGAGTTGTTAGATGACGTTACTGTCGAGGAAATATTTATAGAAATTACAGGTGTGTTTAAGGTTATTTTTAGAAGATTTTTTAAAAATGTAAATAAATCATTGCCTTTGTTGTTTATTTAAATTATATAGCATTTTTTGTATGTCATTACACGTCTATAAAAATTATCTTCGGGTGTCGATGTTTGTTTTGGCAATACATTATTGCGAATTAGTAGTTTTAAATCAAATAGAAATGCTTTTATCAAGTTAGGTTTTTAAAGAAAAGAAAAAGGTATTGTTTACCTCTGATGAAAACAAATTTGGTAAAAATAAACATTTTAAGAATATAAATTTAGGTCTCGTTCTCAAAATATTTAGAAACGCGTTATATGTCATTTATTCTTACACATTTTATGCTGTGTGTTATTAGAAGAAAAAAAATGGAAATGTGTCGCAATCAGTAAATAGATGACATTTTATCAAAACGACAGTATGTAAATGATGTAACTAGTAATTTGTTTACTTTTATGTTTTCTCTTGTAAGCACTCGTGTTTTTTTTTTATGGCAATGAATCAGCTACA